CCAAACTAATACAGAGATATTCCATTCTATTCTACTTTCCAAAGAACTAGAAAGCATAGCCCTAATCATACCTTTCTTTTTGTGGTTGTGTTTCTGAACTTCCAGACACAAGATGTACAATCTGTTTTACCACCAACTAGCATCCAGCAGCACAAACGTAGTTACAGGGCCTGTTTTTCAGAGGTACTGACCCACTGTCTTCAGCAGGGGTTGTGGCAAGTCAAGACTTTGGGGTCAAAATGGGCTCTAGGAACCATGGATGGGATTTTTAACAAGGCACGTTGGTTACACTTTCCAATCCCACCAATTTCCAGGGAGTACTGGAGCCACACTTCCCTTGGGTATCTGTGGTATTTCCAACCTATGCAACTAGGAGGGAAAATATTAGATTTTGCTCATCAAGAGCAATCACATAATGGTTTTCTTTAACATCTTTTCTTCCTGTGATTTTTGAGTGACTCCTATTGCTAAGTGAGTAAGAAACTTTTGTTTCCAAAAATTCATGCAATTTAATAGAAATATTTTTACAATACCCAAGAAGCAAAACCACTTGAAGGCATAATTTGTTTCCAAATGTGTTATTGCCATCTCCGCTGGTACAACCATCTTTTAATGGCACATCATGTTGGCCATGTTTTGAGAAGTCTCACTGGCCAGGTTTTTAAAAGTCTTGTCTTTCCAATGGGAAAAAGTGACTTCCACTTAAATTTGGTAATGACCCAGGGTATTAATTGAGATTGTTCTGTGAGGTTCTCTCTCTATTATCACTTTTTCTTATACAGCGGAATCTTCCTTTATTTTGCAAGTATATTCTGCCCATACTGGAATTGCACCTGAATTCCTTTGGTCAGGGAGACTGCAAGGATCCTCTGAAAACTTCTGAAAGTGGTAATCTTTCCGTGTGTGTTCAGGGGGCTCAGGATTACTGCAGTCTAAGTGCAGAGGCACCGAACATTGGACCTCTAAAATATTGCCAGCACAAGAGCTTGAGAATCTCAAGGAGACACTTGGAGCTAGGAACCCCTCTTTGGCATTTTTGTATAAATGGTCAAATAATTAGGAATCCATTCTTTCTTTACACTGTGTTGTATTTGTTATGTGGCATTAGATTCTGTTGTATTTCAACAATATATAAATTTACATGGTGCTGTGTTTGTGCTTATAGTCAGCATCTACAATGGAACTACTAGTTCAGTACTGGGCTATTTATTATAAGATACTTGAAAATGTACACTCTCCTTCTGATATGAAATATTTTATTGGAGTATTTAGATGTTATCTCTCTTAGTCTTTGCCTTTTATTAGTGACAGTTTCTGGGTAATTGCACTAAAAACTGTACATTATTTAAGGTCCCCTTTTTAGCCAAATGGTAGCCTCTAGGCTTCTCTGATTTTCCTAGCATGGCATCAGCCTCAGTCATCTCACCCGTTGTAAAGTGTTGGATTAGTATTTTAGTGCCTCAAACACCACCAAAGCTGGTTCTGCCACACACACAAGTAGCTTCTGGAATTGCACCTTTAAGCAGGCCTTTTTTTTTTTTTTTTTGTTACTGTTGTTTTTAATTGATAAATAGTGCTTACATTATAGTTTGACTCTCTAAGGAGTTCACAGTTTGTCCAAGTCCTTAGTAATGTGACGAATGGGGTTTTTGTTATCTTTACTGTGTAGCTAAGTTTCATAGCAAATTCTTTGTTTTTTCTACAAAAACAGTGAGTAAAAGGAGACAAAAGTAGGGTCCTAAGATGCATACTTCCTGATGGTTGGAGATGTGTGAAATGCAACCAAAAATACCACTGGAGGAAGAGATTCAATAATTATCAAAGTGAGGGGAATCTACTGTATGTCTGGAACTCACAGCGTCTATAATAAGGATGACTAACTGTACGTTTTAGTGCCTTGTCTCTTGTAAAATGTTTAATCATCAATTCCTAAACATGAATAATTAATAATTTCTGAGAAAATGTATCTAAATATTGTTAATAGGAGCTGTGTATTCACAGAAAAGTCAATAAATCATCAACTATTGTTATGCATTAATTAGACGAGATTTTTAGCCTCCATTCTTTCAGTTGTTTTCAGATAGTGTCATATAATTTGCACAGAACTGTGCTATTTCTGTCTTTTAAACTAAACTCCACTCAACTGCACATAACAGAGAAACCTTTTCAGTTGTACTGTCAAATTTTGTGAGAGAAAGTGCTATTTGTGAGACCCATTGTACATATTCTCCACAGAGCTTTATATTCTGATTGATTAATGCTGCTACAGTCATAGGTTCCTCTGAAGTGTTCATCCTGTAGGTCTATTGAGTAAGTAAGGTTTGAACCTGAGTTAAGCACTAGTAGTTTGCTTCTGGACAGCCTCTGTGTCGTGGTTTAAACCCAGTCAGGTAATTCGTTCACTCACTTCCCCCCCCTTTTTCTTGCCCTCCCCCTGCTCTCGGAGGGACGGAGAGGGGAATCGAAAAGAATGCAACTCCCACAGGTTGAGATAAGAACAGTTTAGTAACTAAGGTATAACACAAATCACTACTGCTACCACCAATGATAATAATGATAAAGAAGATAACAAGGGAAGAGAATACATCATCTCACCACCAGCCGACCGATAACTCGCCCCCCCAGCCCGACCAAGCTCTGACCGATACCTCCTCCAACCCTGCAGTCTCCCAGCCCTTCCGGCTCACTCCCAGTTACATCCTGGGCATGACATGCTGTGGTATGGAATACCTCTTTGGTCAGTTTGGGTCAGGTGTCCTGTCTCTGCTTCCTCCTGGCTTCCCCTCCTCCCTGGCAGAGCATGAGCCTCACAAAGTCCTTGGCCAAACCAAAACATCGCTATCAGCTCTGTTCCCAAGCTGAAAGTCAAAACACTGCACTGCACCAGCTACCAAGAAGGAGAAACACGACTGCTACTGCTGAACCCAGGACACTCTGTCAGGCACTGATGAGCTATAAAAACAATTGGGTTCCTGTTAAAAGTATCTTAATGATACTGGTTCAGATTCTTTGTGGAATCTTTGCATAGAATATCTTTCAATGGATTTCTCTTGCATAAATCTGTCCAAGATCTTTCTGAACCTATGTAACCTATCAGTAAATGTGTTCCACAGCTGAGATATATGTAGAGTGAAGAAATACCTTCCTTTATTTGTCCTGAAGCCAATTTCTGTTGGTTTAGCTTGCTGCCCTATTTCTCCGTATAGAACATTGATTTAGAAGCTCATAGATCTTAAGAAGGGTTCAAATCAGATAAGGGTCAGAATAGCTCATTCAGTTGGTTTCCCTTACATCAACATAAGGTTGCTTTTTAATTGTTATAGAAAAATATCAGTTAATTTCTTCCAGTGCATTTGATCAGAAGTTAACAAATACTTTCATGACATCTGAAAGAAAAAAAGAAAGGGCAGCATAATTACATAGAAAAGTAGAGATGGAACTTCACTTTTATAGTTTTCAAGCAGCCACTTTTCATTTCAAAATAAGGTTGCTTCCTTTCTTTGCTAACTCATTTTCAATAGGAAAGAATAGTTCTACCAAGTTAAAAAAGCCTTTCTGCTAGATGGTTGCTTTTGACCAGCAGGATGCTCCTGAAATCATTTAATCTTCCTGAAGACTTCCAGAATGGGACCACAGGACAGTGGAAGATGTGTACCTGAAGGCTCCTGTCTGCAACTTCACTTTTACCACAGCTGATTCCTGCCCAGAAATGACAAGAATTATGATAAAAGAGGTAACTCACTGATAAAAAGCACATGCACATCAATAAACATTTCAGTCTAACATGATATATGAAAATTAAACAGTCCAAATTAAATGACCTAAAACCTGCTTAACTGACAGGCATAAAACTGCTTGAGAAGCAGTTGTTGGCCAAAGCTTTCTCTAGAGAAGTTACACAGGTATTGGTAGCAGGAATAATCTTGAAGGAAATGTACAAGTCATCACTCTCATTTACAGTTAGTACCAAGTTTGCCAAAAGGGTACTGATAAGGCAGAGACATGACATGGCCTGGCTTATTCTATGGGATGGGGCAGTTCACAAAAACACCTCAATGCAAACACAAATTTCTGTATTTGGAACTGAAGCAAAGAGGTCTAAAGGGAGGAGCAGTCACCCTCAGCAGTGGTGCTTCTGGATTACCAGGGCATGGGCTCCTGAGGGCATGCACCTGCAAAGAGGATTAAAGTGAAACAGGGATGGTGGCAAGAGATGAAAGTGATACCTCCCCATGTAGCCCTGGGGAATCCAACAGCAAAACACAGTTGGACCTCACGCCTATGCTTTACACCGATGTTAAAACTGAATAGGTAAGAGCGCTGATACGAGCCGTAAAGTGGTTTCTTGTACCAGCCATCTTAATGGGAGCAGTCTTTGGCCTATAAAAAAGAATTTGGTAAAGAGGCATGATCTGAGTGCATAACAATTCCCCTTAGGAGTACCAAAGGTGCAGAAGGGTGTTTTAATGGAGAAGAAAAGCGCTCTAGCAGAGTAAGCCTGAGATTTAGCAGTACAAACAGTAATGAGTGGTCAGCTGTTGGGAGAAGAACCACCACAGGTGACTACGGCTGGTGGCTAGGGCTGCTTCTCGCTTCGAGACCAGCTGCCCTTCTCGGCGGTGCTATAACTCAGTTACAGACTCGTTCAGAGGCAGCGGGTGGCAGAGGGCGAAACGCGGGCCCCGGGGGACGTGCAGGACAACGGGACACCTCGGGCCGCCCCGAGACCTGCCCGCGCCCTCCAGCGGGCGGCAGCCGCGAGCCGCGGGCCGGGGCCGCCGGGGGCAGTCGGCGCTGGGGCTCTCCCCAGCCAGCAGCCGCTTTCCCAAAGAGAGGGCTGCTCCTCCGTGAGGAGCGGGAGGGTCCCCGAGCTCGCCGGTCTCCGGGGAAGAGCGGGGCGGCTGCAAGTCCCCAGCGGGTAACCTCAGTACGAGCGGCCTGTTGCGCCCGCCTCGCCTCCCCGCCCCGCCGCCGGGAGCTGGGGAAGCCCCCCGGACCACCCCGGCACCGAGCTGTCTGCGGCGGGTGGCTTCAAAGCGGAGACGGGATGGTGGGGTGGAGCCCGAGGTGTTGATCCCTTGAGGATCAAGGCGCTGTCTCCTCAGGGGCCGGGGGCTTGCGGCTGAGGTGTGAGGAAGATGGCCGGCCCCTGTGAGTGTCCATGGTGGCCTGAGGCCCCGAGCAACGCTGGCCTGGTGTAGAGAACGGTACTTGTTTAAAATTACTTTCCTCGCGGGTGTTAGAAGTCAAGCCAACATCTTTATTTCGTTTCGGCCTAAGCCAGTGGGGCCTGGTTTATACTGAAGGAAAATCAATCACTTTCCTGGAGAAATCAGCATTACGTACGGCCTATATATAGCCCATTGTGCTTGGCTTAAGCCAAGTGAGAGTGAGCAAGGCTTTCAAAATCCTTTGACTACTCCCCCACCAGCCTAAATTCCAGACTTTTGCAGGTTTAACACAAATCCAGAGCAAGGGAAGCATGTTGCAGTTGAAATCCTCACATTTTTCAGCCTGTGGAAGTTTTCCCACTGGTACCAGGAAATCCTCGATGAGGGTCAGGGCATGTTCCAAACCCACAGGAGATTTTGTCAGACTCCTCTTTGTTTCCTCCACCGGAAAGAGAAATTCCCCAAATCTCCATTTCAGTCTGCTGTGCTCATTGCATTGCCTGGTCGGGGAAATTCTTGGAAGTCTTCAAGCTATTTGTTTTCTTAGGTTATGTCTGCACTAGGAAAATGGTTATAATTCAGTTGGTTGATAGTAGTTGCTGCCTTATAAGAAGTTAGTAGAGAGGGCAAGCTGTGAACATATGCTGTACCTAAGTGGGCTTTCTTTAAAATCCCTGGTTCTCTCGTACAGGTTTCTCCTCATCCAGCCAACGTGTATGAGAAATGCCCGGTACTAATTATCATTTTTAAAATCACACCATTTTGCCAATCCAGGCAAAGCCTCGGGGAAATTCTCCCAGATTTTGTTTATCCACACAGTGCATAAATCTTTTAACCACTCCATTTGCCTGAGGCCACATGGGGGTTACACACTGCACATAAGCAGGGGGAACATGCTGTAGCCTTAGGCAATCCGAATTGTTGAAAAAATTGTATGTAAACACTTATAAACAAGTTTTCAAGATCTCTATTAAATAAGCAATAAACTAATCCTTGTCATAGACAGATAGGCACCCATGTCTCAGCTGTTTAAGAGCAAATTGCGTAAGACATAGTGCCTGAAATACCTCGGTCTAAAAGCACCATCATTGTGTTCATGCGAAAATGAAAACAAAGACAACCAAAGACTGAGGAGGCTGATCAGCACAGATAGCACTAAAATACACACAAAAGAACTGAAGTTCTCATTTCTTGGTACCAATCACATTTGTTTCTGGTCTTCAAAGAAAGCATACCTGTACCTTGTCATATTGTTTTTACCTATTCAACTTCTAGGTGCTCTTGCCATGAATATTCTAAGTGACACCAGCTTAAATCACTGTTCAGAGACCCAAGAAATGGAATTATACTCTGAGAGCTCAGCCATGAGTAACTTTTTCCCACTCCCAAGCTTAGAGCTAAACGAAAGGGCTCTAGATGTACACATTTTCTGACCCAAGGAGAGAGGCCAAGGAAGAGAAAAAAATACAGCAACATATAAACTTGGAAAACCTGCTTAACTAATGGGAGAAATAGCCACGCATGGCTGGCAGTCATCCTGACCCAATCTTGATGCTCAGCACTATGCAGTTGGTAATATAACCATCCTGTCCCAGTTAGTAGCTGCACCCCACTTCCAGCTTATCATTCTGGCCTGGATGTGTACTGGTGTGCTGGGATCTAGTATTTAGGCTCCAGCAATGTTCCCATTCCAGGCAGTGGCCTCGGCACTGGCTGGTAGAGCAGCCACCACAGCCTGCCCCAGCCACTGCAGCCCACTCCCCTTTCTGCTTCCACATCCTCCCTGACTCTTTTGGGACATTACAGATCCAAGGGCACCACAAGTCTGTTTTCTTAGGAGATAAATGAATGGTGAGCAGGGTCCGCAGATAGTCTCTATAAGCAAAAGAAAGATGTCCATGGGCTCCTTCATCTCAAGCATCAAAGCCTGACAGGCACGTTTCCTTGGCCCTCTATCACTAAATACATCAACTGATGTGCACCCCACTCCGATCAGCTGCCCACATGGCCTTTCTGCTGGAGGGAGAAGGTCTGAGAGGGACTTGTCTCCCCGCTTGCAGGTGGCCACCACGAGTGACCCCCCTTTGCATCCTTTGGCCACAAGGATCTCATTAGAAATGGCATGGCAAAACCCACAGAGAGCATAAGCTAAACACAGAAATATGTTTTCACTTGCCAGTATACTTGTAATATACAAAAATTACAAGGAAATTCTAGACATGAGTGAGTCTATTCAGAAAGGAAATAGCCATGTATTGTACAGTAAACTAAACGAACAATAAACTGTTCTCTGCTGCTAGTCACTTTGGGGAAAATCAGAAGACTGCAATGGGCAGAAAAGAGGAACCTGTGTACTTTTGCTATCCAGGAACTTGTGCAAACTACAATGAGGTAAAATCTACAGATACTATCAGTTTCCTTCACTCTAACGGAAGAACCATCTACAAATATTTTCTGGATTCAACCTCCCCTCTTCCCCCCATTTTCTTTTTTATAAATAAAGCATATTTGTGCCAAAGCTGAAGAATGTGACAGAGCTCTATCACGAGTTCCAGAAGAGTTACTTGATATTTATTGATATTTATTGTATGACTGAAGAAACAGAATGTAAACAAGTAACTAAAGATTGCTGCCTGTCTGGGTAAGTCTGGAGCACTCCTGCTAGCCAGTAAGTTACTGTGTTCCACCAATTTTGCACTACCCTTGTCAGCAGAATAGCCAGGCTGTTTCTGGGCTATGTTAAGTAGAATCATAGAATAGTTAGGGTTGGAAAGGACCTTAAGATCATCAAGTTCCAACCTCCTACCATGGGCAGGGACACCTCACACTAGCCCATGTCACCCAAGGCTCTCTCCAGCCTGGCCTTAAGCACTGCCAGGGATGAAGCATTCACAACTTCCCTGGGCAGCCCATTCCAGTGCCTCACCACCCTAACAGTAAAGAATTTCTTCCTTATATCCAATCTAAACTTCCTCTGTTTAAGTTTTAACCTGTTACCCCTTGTCCTATCACTACAATCCCTAATGAAGACTCCCTCCCCAGCATCCCTATAGCCCCCCTTCAGATACTGGAAGGCTGCTATGAGGTCTCCAGGCTGAACAGCCCCAACTTTCTCAGCTTATTCTTCAGAAGTAATCCGATGAACATCATCAGCTTGAGTCTATCTGGGCTTGTTACCTTTGGCAAAGTTCCAGTGCTTTCTGGGCTTCTGTTTTGCACCGATACCTAGCAATCTGAAATCCCAGAAGGCTTATTAGCTCACTGCTTAACCAGGCAGACAGCATGCAGCACCCCCTGGACATTAATTGCTTTGGGATTCCCACGATAGCAGGGTAATGGAACTATGGCAGTGCAGCAATTGGTAGAGGCCATAAGGAAGGTAAGACATGTGGAGAGAGCCTGTGTCAGCTTTTGTCTCATGACATTTAGTAGCTTCAGAAAAATGCTCTGCTGCTGAAACACAGGGGTCAGTATATGTGGTGCAAATGCCCAGCAGCAGTCACATCTGTTTAGACAGAACCCATTAGCTCTGAATCAGTGTCAGTCCCATTGGGCCTCTGCTGACACCAGGAGAACTCCTTAGGTATCTCCCTCCTGCTCCCAAGTCCCTTGCTGTCCAGGAAGCTTACTTGTCCATATGCAGGCCCTCATCACTATCCAGAGGTGGTGTGAGTCTGATATTGTGCTCAAGATGACAAATCTTCCTGAGACCCACAGCTGTGGGAAACAGCCTGTGAAAACAGTCAGAGGTCCCTCAGGATCTGTGAATCTGAGCTCCCAGTCTCTATTGTTTAATAACTACTGCTAATGACAGATCAGCTCTGTCTTAGAAATGTTACAGCCATGACCACTAAAAGCAGGTCTAAACCAGTTCTGCTCTGCCTTCCTTCTTTTGCCATGAATCAGTACCTTCACCCAAAGAACGTACCAGTTGTCTAAGCAGGACGCACTTCCCATTCCACAAGAAAACTGGGGTCAGGATTTTCAAAACCTATGTAAACAACATACTTCACAGGATTGTCCCAGTTCTCCTCCCTTCCACCAGATATCGCCATAAGCTTCACTGCTCCACTGGCATCCCCCATATACTGTCCCAAAATGGCTGTCCCTGGACTTCATTCCTTTACACCATTTTTTTTGCAGAGGATATCTGTCCCAGAGGCCTGACAGCAATTCCTGCCCCTGAGAGGTTTGTCAGATCCACATAGGTATCAAATCTACAGCCACAACTGAAGGGCTCCTCCTTCGTCCTGTGGATTTGGGTTGATTCTTGGAGGAAGGATTGTGAAAGATACATTTCTGGAGTACCACCAGGCTCCACTCTCTTCTCCACTCTTTTTGATACATAGCAAAGCTATTGCAAAAAAAAACGCTGAGGATATTTGACTCTTTGACCACTGTACACAGCATTACTGTTGGCAATTACTGTTGGTAATACCTATGTTTTCATGATAAATTCCTTGCTTTTAGGTTTATGGAGTGTGTCAATGGTGCAACTAAAAAACCAAAGTAAACAAGAGGGACATCAGGCATCAGATGTAATGAATGCACTCAGCAATGAGAATGGTGTGTATCATACTGGATACCACAAAAACCACAGGAGAAGCATACTAATGGAAAGGCTGACGCACTTGTCACAGGAATAGCCTACATATCTTTCTCTCTTTATCTTCATTCCTTCTGACTACTAAGAAAGCCAGGCATAGACTTTTGACTTGGACAGAAAAAATAAGCAGGCTGACTCATCAAAGGACCCTCATGCAGCATAGTTCTGGATGGCTGAGGAAGAACCAGACAACGTGGGTAAAAAATGGTAGAAATTCTGTATTTTGAAAGTAAATTAATTAGTACCTAATTGTTCCTTAGCAAAACAAGGGGATACCAAGCTATAGTTAATGGAAATAAAAAGACGCTTTTAAAATATGATTCTGCAAAAAATCTATTGTAGTGACAAAAATATTTGACTTATGTCAAATATTATTTATTTTACTTATGTCAAATATTATTTTAGAGTGAGTATTCTAATTTTAAAAGAATTTTTATCATGTCTTTTCGGCAGAATCACAGATCACAAGAGATCACAGAAGGGTTGAGGTGGGAGGGGACCTCTGGAGGTCATCTGGGCCAAGCCCCCTGTTCAAGTAGGGTCACCTAGACCTGGTTGGTCAAGACCATGTCCAGGTGGCTTCCAAGCATCTCCAAGGATGGCGACTCCACAACACCCCTGGACAACCTGTGCCAGTGCTCTGTCACCCTTACAGTAAAAAAGTGTTTCCTTTTTCAGATGGGGTTCAGCTTCAGGTGTTCAGATGGGGCCTCCTGCGTTTCAGGTTGTGCCCATTGCTTCTTGTCCCATCCTTTGGCACTGCTGAAAAGAGCCTGGCTGTTCTTTGCACCCTCACTTGAGATATTTATATACATTGATAAGATCCCCCTTTTTTCATATATGTCTTCATTCCTTTGCCATATGAGATGCTTTGTATTATATAAATATAACCAAAGAAACACTGAATTTAAAAGCTAGAGAAGCTAACTTCAGAACTAAGTTCACAGAACATGTGTGAATGGCTATTAGATAAGATCAAAATCAATGAACGATGTGATGTCAATGATGATTCGTTTGTGCTTTAAAAATATTTGTCTTTAACTCAAATGCTATACTGGAAAAGAATAAAGAACTGATGCAGAAACTGAACACAATAGTGAAACTTGTAAGCCACTATAAGTCAGTGTATTAAGAAATTAATGCATCATATCAAAATGTGTAATCAATATATCAGGTGCCAGGTGTAGTTATTCCATTCTGCAAGTCACGTTTGTAAACACAGATATCCAGATTGTTTGGAGTTTTATTTTGGCACTCTTTCACCTTCTTAAAGCAGATAAAAGCTTTGCCTTTCTAGGGGTACAATCATTTTGACAAAAGAAACTCCTTCCAATTGCTAGTAAAAGAAAGTAGTGGAAAAAGCAAAATAGAAAAATACCTTTGCTATCACCTCTATTTTTCCAAAAGAAACATTCCTGGGAATTTCAGTGCTGCTGCTATTACTGAATATTTTAAGAGTCTGAAAAACATTGGTTGTATTTGGGCTGACAAAAAAAGCTGTAAACAAGGAAATATTTGGTGCATAAAAGTTCTGCTGACAAACGACTTGTGGCAGATGCCTTGGTCTTCCTGCATAGCAGGAAAAGTCTCTGCCCTGGGAGACAAGCCTGAAGAGTGGGACTAAGGAAACCCAGTGAACAGCCACACAGTTGTGCCTCAAAGCCTCTCCTTTGAGAGCAGGGGATGACTTCTGGAATGACACCACTCACATTCTTCCCACACTGTCTGTCAGGGTAGGACTAGTGGATAAGAGGCATGTGAAGAGAGCAGTCAAAGCCCCAGTGGTGACTCATAAATGACAATATTCTAGCTGGCATGCCAGAGGGACTACTTGGGATCATTCCTCATGTTTTGGTCTCTGTGCAGTGGGAGGAGACCTGCGCTGGAACTGACAGAGGAACAGTCCACTCCTTTTCCTAAGCAAAGATCAGAGCTATCTGTCCATCTTACTCCAGAACCAATCACAAGAGAGAAGTTGTCTACTGGAAAGGGAACGAGCTCTTTGCTACTTAAGACATCAGTTTCTACATGACACAAGCATTTGTGAAGAGGCTGGGAAAAATGCTATAGAGGAAAAACACCAAAACACCTGAAGAAGTTAGTTCAGCTGAGAAGCACGACACTCTTAGAGATGCTGGTAGAAGTCTGCAGGTTTCAATAGCTGGTTAATGCTATCTCTGCAGTGTGCCCAGAGACAGATCTCATTGTGTAGCTACAGTCTGAAGATAGGGGATGAGAATACATTAGAAGCCTTAAAGCTTCACCTTCTGCAATGCACAGTGAATGGTCCCTTTCCTGCTTTCCCTCTCCCAGACATCCTTAGTGGAGGTAAGATTACCAGATGGCAGCAGTGAGAAGTGCCAGTTACAGCCACAGTCTTTCTCCAAACTGGGAAATGAAGTCTTGAAGGTGGAAAACTTCCAAGTTGCTACAGAACACCACCAGAAATCACCATTGCTTCATTTTTTCTTCCTGCTGAGACTTGTCATCCTTAAAGCTATGGGGATTGCTATTGCACAAGGCTGGCACTCTCAAGGCAAGAAAAATTCCCGACCATGATGGCTTACACAATCTACAGAGCTCTTCACTGAAACATGGCTCAGGATATTCTAGTGCAGCTCCCCTACCCTAGACAGCTTTGTCAGGCTGTTTTAATTAATCTTGTCACTCTTTGGTGTACTAGACCCAGATACAATGAATCAACAGGAATTAACACAGAGCAGTGAGCAGATTGGGGCTGTCTAATTCAAAGGAGGATGATATATCTTACCCTGAAGAGTCTTTTCATGGGAGAAAAAATCATGGTTAGGTTATTCTGAATTTCTTGAAGGGAGGAAAATGACATGCAAAGTTGAGTTCTGGCTTGGGACAACCATGTACTTTGCCTTCTCTCCAAGGATTTGAGTGTAGCAGAAAGGGATGTTTTGGAAGTCTGCAAAGTATCCACTGGATAACTTTATAGCCCTTTATTAAAGTTAAGAGACTGCTAGTGAACTGAAGTGGTGCCTAGTTCTAAACACAATACTGCATGTAAAAAAGACCCCCAAAAGTGAACCCAAGTAGGGCAACAAGAGTGATCAGAGTTTTAGAAATAATGATGTCTGGCAAAAGACAGGAGGAGACTGGCTTTTTTCTGCTGTCCCCTCTTTTTTAGAAGAAACATTAAATCCTACATGTTAGGATGGAATGGTGATTACCCATTACTAGCCTCAGCTGGGAAAAGGACAAGAGTAAATGAACTTGCTTTGCAGAAAATAATAATCTTGGTAAAATATTTAATAGGCTATTGAAGCACTTGAATAGGATACCAAAGGAATTTCTGGAATCTCACTGGAACTATTCATTCTTCAGTTCAACGTCAGTCTGTCATCTGCCTGTGGTCTGCATACAACTGGTAATGTCTCAGTGCAGGGATGTGACCTGGAGAGGATAATCTCATTAGACTCCACACCTCACCTGTAGTGAGTGGGAGGATTCATCAGGAGGATACAGTGATATAGGATGGCCTTAAAGAAAACGGCTCTGATCACTCATCTTCTAAACAGCTTTGATTGCTTTCTTCCCAGGCCACCTTCCCTGACTCTTCTCCAAGCTTTTGCTGCTTTATTCCTTCTTATCTGTGGCCACCCAGGAAAGAAGGAAGACGATGAAATGTAAGAACCTTCTGCAAGCAGAAGTAAGTGATACATGTTATGGTCCAGGACCTTGGAAGGCAGTTGCACACTTTTGTCTGCAGCAGAGGAAGTTCAGGTATGGAATGAAACTGTCTCTTAACTGACATTCATGGCTGAACAAAATAAGCATGGCATGAAATGACATAATCATGAACTGCTCTTTTCAGATCTGTAGCACATTCCTTCTTCTGTCTTTGAGGTTTTGATAGTTATGTGCCTGCAACATCTGTCTCCCCATCACAGATGATGATTTCTCAGAAAAAGCAATGCAAAGGAAGGCAGGCATGGCTGTTTTCCTTTCCCTGATCAGTTAATTCTGGAGTAAAATGAGATGAGGAGCATCTCCCTTTCCTAGCTGGAGTACCTATTGGGGAGCAACTAGTAGATGGGTACAAGGGGTGCCACTTTCTCCTTTCAGTAGTGGGTCAGAAGTTGCTTAGCAGATTGGAGTTCTCTCCAATATTTATATACATATATTCCCTCTGTGTTAATATATATATCAGCACTTCTGAGCTTTCAGAGATGAAAGGTCACTCTGATACCATACTTCACTGGTGAACTGTGGAAATCCATCTTGTCATTCTAAGTGTTGGTAAAAAAAATGAGAATCTCAAATAAGATTGCTCAAATGACCTATAGTGAATTTTCTGGGAGCACATTTCTCCCAAGAGTTGCACAGAATAGCATTATAAGACAAAGACTAGAACAAAGATTAAAGCCAACATTGCTCGCTACCCCTCGCTAACTGTATCTGTCCTCAAATGTTACAAGAACATGAATAACATTAGCAGATGATGCTAGACTAGGAGAGGAAGAGAGAAATAGGATGCACCATATCATTTTATCTCTTAGTCAGAAATCTATTTCCTTGCTTCAGTTGCTTCAAATACATGAAAAGCACAAGTCGCTGTTACAATATTGTAACCACTTAGCATAAACTTTTCTTTCACTAGAAGCCTAAAACAAAAGCAGAGTCTGCATGTGGCTTTCTGTCTTTGAACCTACATGATGAGCCTTTCAAGAGTGCAGGCAAAAAACCAACATAAGCAAAAGCTCCGAAAATTCAAAACTAACAATCTAGTTTGCAAAAATAGCATTATTATGTGCTTCTCACCACTGGTATAAATCTGTGACTGCAATAGCAAGTTCTGCATCACCAACCAACTTTTTATGTAAACCATTTTGCCAAGCAATGATTAACTGTAAAAGGGACTGGATTCAATTTCCAGGCATACATGCCAAAATGCTTAAGAAAGATGCCTTGATCTCCTCACCCCCAAACTAGGAAAAATTGTCTGCACATCTGGGTATTCAGAAGCAAACAAAGACTCTCCATTTGCATAAAGTGATGCATAGAGGAGATCTAAGGAGAACTCCTGAGGAAAGGCAGTGCAAAGTTGTCAGAGTCTTGATGAATGGTAGATGAGCTTTCCCATATCACAATGGCTCTGGGAAGAGTCCTGATGTAGTTCTCTGACTCCTATGAAAGACAGAGGGAGCTAGCTACAAACTCTTCTCTGATTATGCCCCTAAGTATCCAGGACTGGAGTCCCCCTGCTGCCCAAGGTGATCTCTTGCCTCAGATACAAACCTGCTCCATCCATAGGTGCAATCACAGTAGTGTAGTCAACTTCTGGCTAGCTATTTTGTAAAGATCTGCTCTTCTGCAGATACCTCTTGCTTCAGGGTATGGCAGTGCTTGTTGCTGCTGTGTTCCATTGGAAGAATGGGAAGGGTGTGCAGAGAAATGTGAAGAATGATACTGCTCCTACGGTCAAAGTGAGAAGATGTTACTGTTCCACCTTAATGTTTTGGTACAGCCAAGTTTTTGCCTTGCTGCACTCCCACAGTCTAGGACAGTACAAACACACCCTGGCAAATACATCTAACTTTTTCAGCTAGTTCTGGTCATCATACTGCAACTGGTGCCTGCCTGTGGGGCAAAGTGGTGATGCAGACAGGCCTGTATCAGGGCAAAAGCTGATAAGCTTGGTGATACTGTAACGCTTGTGTAAAGCTGCAGATGTGGCATTACGGCATTGTATAAAGATCAAGGATTTGAAAGTGGGCAACAACAGCACTTGAGGCAAACAGCACTCTTGGCAAGACTCCCATCATGTTTCCCAGCTCTGAAATTGGACAGAATTGTTGGCATGGTACACTCATTCAGACCCACACATTCAGGCATGGCCAGCAGAAGAGAGGTTGATGACAGATGACAAGTGCCAAGGAAACAAGATTGATGACTTATTCTGACAGAGTTAACCAGATAGCTAAAGCCTGACAAGACTGAGCAGAAATGGACATGGCACCCCATCCTCTTGCTCCACCACCAGCCAGCCTCCTTCCCCTGAGAACACTTGCCCTGTCAACAGTGCTTCAGAGATGGTAAAAACCACTCTGTGCCTGAAGTTGGTATGCTGATTTCAGAGCTCCAAAGAGGTAGAAAATTTCCCTTAGCATTCCCTAAGGGAAACACTAGATGTCCCTTCTTACACTCGGGGGGCTTGCTTTTTTTTTTACTGGACTATCAGGATTAGCAAACTGGTGAAAATGACTGAATGTGACCCCTTGCCCAGCCTGCTATATCTCAGTCTGGTTTCCTTTGTGTCTGTGTCTCCTTCATTTCTGGGGGGTAAAAGGTCTGCCTCTTGTGGAAGGATAGCAGTCCAGTCAGCTCAAGTGGTGAGTATCTGGGAAAACAAGGGACAAGGCCATATTGGCCAGAGCTGGAGAAACAAGTGCAAAGGTCTAGTGCCATTCAGCTCAGCTGACCTGTCACATCAAAACGCTAAAGCTTTATTGGTTTTGATATAACGATTTCAGGATATTCAGCATGAGACCTGCTAAATGCTACTTACCCCATCCTTACAAAAGGTGCCACAATTTGGCTCAAATATCTAATATATCTACCGAGGAATTAAGGTAATTCCTTAATTAAATGTATTAAATATGTTTTATAGTTATGCACAAAATCTAGAAGTGTTTGATATCTAAAGGGAAAGCCCACCTTAATCCCCCTTCACTCCCTGGAATCAATCAAATAGATTCGTGTAGCACTGCATCTTCTCTGTGTTAGCTTTCTAACCTGACCATTGCTTCTCTTGCTGTGTTGCATACCTGGCTTTCATAGGCCAGCACACCATAATCCCTATCACAGAAACATTCTAGAGCAGAGCACTGCATAGCTGAAGATTTGTTTCCTACACTGCACTCATTGGATTTTGATCACAAAGAAAATCACTTCAGAAAAAAATGTGATTTTTTCAGTATGTGTCTTAGAGCATCTTTTGATAGTAGGTTTATCAAGCACTATCTCAAGTCTTCTATAGATCACAGTGAAGAAGATGGCAAAGGCACAATGAAGAAGCACTTGGGCTGTGTCTTCTCCATGAGCCTTGTACTGACAAACACAACTTTGTGTCTGTTCCTTGAACATACTGACCTGCTGAGTTAAAGGAATACCACACTTCTGGCCTATCTGCAGGAAGGGGAAGCCTCTGGGACAAACTGCAGGATTTCTCAAAGGTGTCTCTAAGGTAAGGAAAAGGCAAAGGAAAAGAGAGAGAATCAAAGGGCAAGCGTGACAGCAGAGGGAGGTCATACCAGATGACCTAGCAGAAGAGGGAATTGAGGTGGTTGAATGGGGTATAGCTGTTAAAATGCCAGTTGATACAGAGGTGACATGGCACCCTGCAAAGACAAACGACCAAATTCCATGAGGACAGGGTCCATCAAAAATTTTACCTGCTTTCTATCTTCTAACCTGCAGGGTTCCCAAACTTTGTCAGCACTTAAGTGATTAAACCGCTGCGAGGTATTGTGCTGACAAGACTCACCTATCTCAATTCTTCCCTTCCTGAGGGAGCAAAGTACCTTTAGATCAAAAAGTTGGGTTGCGTCTTCTTGCAAAAACCCTGAAGAAGGCAGTCTGCTCCAATAACATTATTTTGTTCAAGATATCCCAAATTCTCCCTTTCCCTTAATTTGACCTTTTACTGTTACCACAGTGCATAATATTTGCTCTTACACTTTGTACTTCAAGTCAAGTTCATGAAATACCTACAGCCAAACAATTTCCTCAGTACTGTACCCCCTCTACCTACAGCCAAACTATTTCCTCAGTACTGTACCCCCTCACCAAGATGAATACTTTATGGTGGGACAGACAGGAAGCTGTTGAGTCATGCAGAGCTCTCATTCTCTGAACCATTAATCGTATGCAATACCTCTACTAGAAAAGGTCCAAAATAGTCTAATGAACATGCAATGTCCACTTTACCAGCCAATGCACTCATCAGAGGAAGGTAGCAGGCAATTTTCTGAAAGAGAATATGGTTGCCATACTGTCATAACTCTGAGCCCAAGGTCAAAGAAAGAAGCTTTTAGTGTGTCTCTGTTGCTGCGTCTCTCAGGATGAAACATTTCTAACACTTCCCAAAGAAAGTGCTATCCGCAAACAATTCTAAAAGCTCATGGGCTGTGCTCCATATCAGCTTCTTCATATATGTCTTAATAAAACCTTTCCCTTCCCTGAGCCATCTATAGCTGTAAACAGAAATCCACATATTAATACAGTGATATTTCCTCTGCACATAAATCCTAAGTATTGTAAAAACTTCTCTGGTTGCACAGTTTTTAATTCAGTTACAGAGCTGTGTAGTAAGTATGCGTTCTATTCACTGAAGTCAGTTATTAAAAATACATATTTGTAATAAAATATATGCTGTCTAAATGCAATTTCCTTCAGGCTTAAAAATTCTAGGTTTCAGGTTGCATGCACCCCAATTTTCCATAGCTACAGGGTAAGAAAGTGTACTAGAGCCTTTCAAGTTAAACATCTGTTTAGAATGTTTTGTGGCTGCTCTAAGTCTTAAATCAATTTGGTTATAAAAACAAATATTCTTTACAGTATTAAAATAAAAGAATGGGGATGATTTATGGCTTGTTTTTAGCAACTGACTTGTCTGAGAAAAGATGGGCCATATGGAATGAACTGACTGAAAAATTCAGTGACATAATGCAGTTATTTATTGATTTGTATAGACAATAATGACCTGTAAGAGCTGCACTCTGCTGTTTCCCTGTCGCTCTAGCACCCTCTTTTAATACTTAAGGAAATCAAATATGTTTAGCTGTCTGTATGCATTCTTACAATAAATGAATAACATGACAAATTGTATTTTGGTATATCATAATGTGCTGTTGGAAATACGTTATCATTTTCTTTCTTACTCCCATCATGAAAATACAGTTAGAATTTAGATTCCTAAGCATCTTTCTTGTTTTTTTTTCAGTCTCTGTATATGTGCTAAACATTTCTCCTTGCACTTTGCTGCAATTCACAGGTTTATATACATTTCTAGATAAGAAAAGTCGGGGGAATTGCTAGAAGCAGAATTGGAGCACACAGGAGCATGCAAAAAGTGACACAGAAGGATGCAAGTAGGTTATAACCACTCTTTCTTCTTTTGAGCTCTCTGCATTTATTTTAAAACCCTTCAGTTTTCTACATCTGACTTCTTTTGATAGCAGCCTCCAATTTCCTAAAGGGGACCTCCAGGAAAGCTGGGGAAGGACAGTTTACAAGGGCATGTAGTGATAGGACAAGCGGTAATGGCTTTAAACTGAAGCAGGGTAGATTTAGATTAGACAGGAAGAAGTTCTTTACTGTGGGGGTGGTGAGGCACTGACACAGGTTGCCCAGAGAAGCTGTGGCCGCCCCGTCCCCAGCCATGTTCAAGGCCAGGCTGGATGGGGCTTTGAGCAACCTGGTCTAGTGGAAGGTGTTCCTGCCTATGGCAGGGGGCTTGGAACTGGATGATCCTTAAAGTCCTTTCCAGTTCAAACCATTCTGTGTTTCTGTGCTCTCCCTTTCTCCGGGGGCTTTTAAAGGTGGTTCTGTTCTTCAGGCACCCACCTTCAGTTTCTGTGCTAGACACCAGGTCCCACCCTTGCTGATGTCAACCTTTCCCTTGGCTGGAAAGTGAAGGCAAAAATGACTGAGTTTCAGTACCAAGGTCACAGTCACTTTCAGGGTGCTGTTATTTGAGATATTGGATCTACCACTATTCTAGGCAGCTATGAGCAGTGATTTCAGCCTTCTCTCCCCAACAGCTCCCATGCTGGCTTCTTGCTAAGCAAGAAAGTAAACAGCAGCCTCTGCATGTGGGCAGCAGCAGCAGCAGCGCATCAACTGAAGTTCCTCTTCTCTGCAGCATTCAGAAGCTTTCAGTGAAATATCAGCACCACATCCTTACCAACCTGCAGCCCTCTGAGGAGCAGAAAATTGAAAATGGAAGCAAAAGTAGCTCAGATGATGTAACACAGTCAGATGAGGTACTAGAAACAGCCCTTAGAAGTATGGAAGTTTAGAGAGCTGCCCAATACCAGCTAAGTTTATCTTAGAGAATTAAACAAACAAACAAAACAACTGGTCACCAAGATGCTTTTTTGAGCTGCAGTTTGACTTCTTCTGCATGTATTATGGACAGTTGATTAAATCAGCGGCTAAATCCAGAGTGAGGGCAGCCTGCAATTTAACAAGAATGTTATCCAAACATCTTACGCGCATTCCTTTTTATTATTTTATATTTTTCATTAAATAGGATATGAATAGGATATGTTTTCAGAGAAAACATGGTAATTTGAAATTGCTAGCTCCAGCAAACTGGAGACCTAGAGTTTTTCAATCACTTTGTACTCTGAGAATTTATAAAAGCGGTATGACAGGAATAAGAAGCAATCGGTGCTGCTTCATGAGGAAATGCTTGTGCTTATGAGAATATTAAGAATGCCTGTCTCCTTTTTCAAATAGCATGTGTCATTTAAGACATCAAGAAGAAAATTATGTTGGCTTCCAGCTCCCTACTAGTTTCCTGCACACGATCACCTCCCTTCCCGCTAGTCTAAAAATAATGGGAAATATTAAAAAATGAGCAAAAGGATGCAGTTGAGAAGCCAGTTACATTCAAGAAGCTATAATATTAAGATAAAATGGATGTTCTGAGTATGTAGGTGTTTGAAATAATGATGACCATAAGAAGACAGATGAAGACTAAAATTATTTTCCAGAAGTGAAGTAGGGTTATGTGAGAAATTGACGGCATGTAGTCTTGAAAATGAAGGTGTGGATGACAGCCTGGGTTCAGTGTTCAAAACAGCCCTTTGGATGAACACACGTTTTCCACCAAGTAGAGGGAGTCTGAGGGGAAAAGAGAGTGGTATTTCAAAGCTTCTACTTTGAAGCCCTGTGCAAGCACAGATCTACTTAGCAGATGAAGAGTCTATAAGCACTATCCAGAACTTGCATTCCTGATCATAGTACACAGTTGAGACTGCATGAGTCTGTAGCCTCCTACTAAATGTGTACTGCAAATGCAACCATTTCTCTGTCTATATGTGTTTGTGTATATAGATATGTATATATGTATGTGCATGTATACATTTATGCATGTGAGTGTATAGGTGACCACACTGCTAATATAAAATCAGTATGTCCTGATAACCTTGTTCTCAGCCCTGTGAAATACTGAGCTCTACTTCCAGTCCTACAAAGTATCTAGATGCATTCCTGAACACATGTGCTTATGCCCATGGTTAAATGCCTTGACAGCTCAGGTCCTAGTTCCTCCACATTCGCTGCAAGAGGGAGCAGAGGAGGAGGAGTAAGGAAGGGGCTGACCCTCTGCCTCTATGGTGAGTGATGGAACTTACTGTTCCATTTACAGTTCCATTTTAAAAATAGATGCTGGGCAAGTAAGCAATTAAAATTCAAGAAGGAAAGCAGAACTATCTGGCGGTTGTTCAGTAAGTCTAACTTGTATAATAAAGATCTGCACATAGCTGGTATAAGTATAAACAGTCAGCAGCATGAGATTATGAAAAATAATTCTTGCCTGGCAAATGTAATTACTTTTAACAAAATTTAAAACCCATGGACTGAAGAGAATACAGCAAAACTATTCTCTCTGCAGTCTGGGTCATTCAGCTGTATGTGGAATAAGCTCCCATAAAACATCTGAACTGTTTTGGGGTGTATCGATGCAGACAGGTGCAAAAGGGTCCAAATTCCATGCTGGACATATGCTAGCTCGGCCCTGTTCCCAGTCAAATGAACTCACTAAGAGATCTAGTAGAGTCACGTGAGCACCATATGGTGACACCACTTCCAAATGAGAGCAGGGTCATGTCAGTGAGCTCACGTGTGTTTTCACACACCACAATACCTCCTGGGTCCCCAGCTCTCCTCCGTGGCATTGAGTTCACCAGGAGAAGTGATGAACAATAGTTGCCCTATGACTGTCTCACCATTATCCAGCACTTTCTGGGCTCCACCCCTCCTCCCCAGTTCTTTTCTGGGTAAATCACTCGCTGTCAATGGCCTGGCAGGAGAAACACCATTGTTCCATCTAGTGGAGAGCTATTCAGTGTTGATGGCCTTTGATTTCTCTTTCCAAACATAGGCCTTGCCACTGCCAGATAGGATTTTGATGGTAGGGTTATGCTGGCAAATCCTCCCAGCATAACAGTCTGTAGTCCCCGAAGATTTATTGTGGCCCAAATCAGTCTAACTTACATCAATTGTGTGGATATAATAAGTGCAGACAATACCAAAAGCCTCTCAGAAAATGTCCAATATAAAATAGATACACTAATTTACTGTGAAGGTTACAAATGTAAATAGCATTCAGAAGAAAAGTAAATAACGTATTCATAGTTTGGCACAGACATGTTGCCAATGTGTCACATCCTGACGGATTGGGGATATGTCTGTGTCAAAATATAAATTCCATTTTTGCTTTTTGAATGCCATTTACAATTGCAACTGTCCATGTGGATTAATGCATCTATTTTTATAGCCAAGGCTTTGTCTGGGGAAATGTAACAGAGCAATCAACAGTGATGACTGGTTCTATTTTGCTTGAACAACAGTGTTCAAGCAAACTGGGCTTTTCCATGTTCCACCCACGTGCAGGGCAGGAGCAAAAAAGGGATGCAACCTTACTATGTGGGTACATTTGTCAAAGTGAGGTCTCCTTGCTAAAAGCAAGGCGTGAGTGGCCAAGCCGAAGAATTAACGGTGATTGTGTGGTCAGGTGGTGGGGCGCTGCAAAGAGATCCAGCTCTGAACTGCTGGAAGGCTGAGAAGCCATTCAAGTGCAGTCACAGAGACCTACTGGTGGAAGAAGGGAAGGCTCAGGTACTTTCTAACACTCCTGGTCCTCTCCACTTCTTCCCCAGTAAATTCATGCCCAGGCAGGGCATTTTCATTCAGTCTGTTCCACAAGTAACCTAAGAGTTGCTTTGTACGGATAAACATCTGTCAGATTGTTCAGACTAGATATAAGGAAGAAATTTTTATGATGAGGGTGGTGAAACACTGGAATAGGTGGCTTAGAGAGGTTGTAGATGCCCTGTTCCTAGAAACATCCAAGGTCAGGTTGCATGGGGCTCTGAGCAACCTGATCTAGTTTAAGATGTCCCTGATCACTGCAGGGGGTAGGACTGAATGACCTTTGAAGGTCCTTTCCAACCCAAACCATTCTATGATTCCGTGATTAGCAAGTTCTTTGCTTTCTATACATTATTCTTGCCACCTGTATCTTGATAATTGGACTTTCCCAGAAGGGTTGTCTGTGGATATAGAGCTCAGCCAGCTGGGGGCTGAGAAGCCGCACCACAGTGTCTGGGGCAAAGGCAGGCAGAGCAGGGTGCTGCTGTCTGAGCGGTGGTACCTGCCATGACATCTGCATCCGAGGGGACACATCGGCAATCCAGGGCTGAGGAGCAGGAGACAGTTCCTCCCCACAGCAACCAGTCCCAGCAGTCTGCCGGGGGTTTAACGTTTGGATATCCTCGCTAAAGACTGGTTTTCACTTTGTTACCTTGGACTTTCCCCATCAGCCTGCTCTGGTTTTGTCTGCCCTGTCCTTAACCCTCCCTTACAAGAGCTGCTTTAGGTACTTATCAAGCTTCAGCATCAAAACCACAGGCAAAAGCCAAAGCCTTGCTGACTGGCATCTCCTGTCACTTCCACAAACCAGAAATCCGTCTGCGAAACGCTGGGGAGGGGTGGTGGTGGTGGGGAACCCGCTCGTTAAAAGCCGTAAAATAAAACCATCCCAGCTGTTAACTCCGCTTCCTGGTGAGGCAGGTAAGTGCAGCGCTGAGCTGAACGTGCCGGTACTGCGGAGATGCTCTTTCACCAGGCAAGGCGACAAGCACAAAGAAACCGCACCGGGCAGAGAGCGGGGTGGGCGCAGAGGGAGGGACGGGACGGACCGAGGGAAGCTCCGTCCGGAGCCACCGATGCCGGAGATGTTGAGGCTGCCCCAGACGCCCCGGAGGCGGGAATGACCCCCGCGTTTTCCCTACCAACTTTTCGGGAGAGCCGGGCTCGGCGGCGGCGCTGGCAGGTGCACCGCACCGGTCGTGGGCAGCGGGGCGGAGATCGTCCCTGTCCCCACTCCTATCCCGCAGCGGAGAGGCGCGCACCCGGCGGCGAGGCGCGCTCAGCGCCGCGGCTCCGACCCGCGGTACCCGGTGTCCCCGTCCTCGCCGGTGCCAGCCGCGCCGCCGCAGCGCCCTCTGCCGCCGGCGGGGTGTGACGGCGGCGGGCCGGGGATCGCGTGCGAGCGGCTCTCCGGCGGCTCGCCCTGTCACTCGGCCGCCAGCCCGCCACCTGAATCACGAGGGAAGCGGCGGCCGAGCATCCTCCCCACCCCCGGCGCCCTCCGTCCCGCTGCAGCAGCCCGCTCTCGCACCTCCGCCCCTGCACCGCCGCTCAGCGCCGCGGACGGGGGGCTGATCTTCGCCCGCAGAAACTTTGCACCCCCGGGTCGTGGCGGGGACCGTGGGGTAAGTAAATGGTTGCGTCCCGAGACCTCGCGGTTGGGCGGGCGAGGCTTCAGCCCCGGCTTTGCGGGGGGACCAGGGGACCGGAGCACCCCACGCCTCGCGGTGTCTGTTGGGGCTCCCCTCCCCGGCTGTTTCGGCGGCGGTGGGACCGCAACCGTGCAGGACGCGCGGCGCCCCTTCCACCCGAGCGCCGGTGGCGGTCCGCAGCTCCCGCGAAGCGAAAGCACTGGGAGCTGCCGGTGTCCCCGTGCGGGTGATGCCCGGAGTGCTGCACGGCTGGCCCCAGGGCTCAAACCTGAGAGGCGGAGGGCTTTGCCGGGGCACCTTGGCCCCGTCTGGCCTCACCCATCCTTTTCGCTGGTGCTTCGAGAGACCTTTCAGGGGGAAAGCCCGGAGAATAAAGTTTCACGTTGCCTCCTTGGAGCCCCGAGGGCACTCGCTTGGCCTTACCCGGCGTGGGTTTGCTTTGGGGTCAGGCAGTGCATCCCCCCAAAGCTTCCCTTCTCAGTGGCTTATAACTTCAGAGCTACAGATTCTTGTTGTGTTTCAGTTTGACATAGCCAAGGAGGAAAAATCAGCGAGGGAAGGGCAAAGCATACGTACAGGCTCTCGTGCTTTTCCTCGACTTTGCGTTACTTTCTGTAGTAAACACGAGTTTTGCCCCTCTTCGGGTGAAGCTGTAGTTTTAAGTCTTTATTGAAGAATAACGCAAATAGCATAAAACCAAGTTATAACACATAAGAAACTCTTTCTTCCCCGAAGACGGGCACAAACAATGTTTGTGCGTCATTTAGTGAGTGTCTAGGAGATAGACTATTAAGACCAAAAGAAAAAAAGAAGGAAAAAAGGAAACAAAAGCCAACAGAAAACCCCAAGAATATGCTTGACGTTGTTTGGTAGTTGAAAATTTCAAAAAGAAAACCGGGGCTGTATTTAAATAAAACTGAATGATCTGGTTGGGCTCAGAATTGGTCTGTTGAGAAGAATGTTGATGCACATATGTTTGCAGTAGATAAAATAAAACAGTGCTCTTTTATGAACCGTAGAGAGTGTTATTATCCAGGGCTAAGACTAAATTGTTGCGTGCAAGTGAGAGACTTAAACGACTGACAAGATCAAATTCACTGGCAAGACACTTGGTTAATTTGCAACCAAGAGCAAGAATTCGTTTCCTTGAAAAACAAAGTACCTAATGCCATAGATATTAAGATCCAAAGCCACCAGATCAGGTTTTGACAGTAACTTTAACACTGTTGCTCCAGCTGGCACCCCCTGCACAAGCAAGGGTTGAGGCAGTGCTCGCTTTTCACTGCTGCATCCACCGCATCTCCTCATCAGTGTATGTATTTGTGGCAGCATAGTTGTTTCCATAGTTGACTATAAAAGCGTATTTGGGTGTTCTCCGGTCTCAAGGAGAGACCCGGGTTTCCAGAGGCTGCGTCGGGCCTATGTATAAACACCTCCAGCCTTCCTTCAGCTCTGGAAGCACAAAGCCCCACAGTCTGCAGGGTGAAGATGTACTGAGGTGGACTGTTTCGGCAAAGAGCAGCAGGGAACGGATGCTGGCATGTGGAAAAGCCAGGTTGTTGTGGTCTTGGGATTTTTATTCCAAACAAGCCATAGAAGGGGTGGTACGTTATTACCTCAACTTCCCATCGATTCTGATTTCTACCCAGGAATCGTGAGGAGGAAATGCATTGCTAGGCCCTGTTTGCAGTGCGGATGCTTACGAAAACCAGCCAGGCAATCTAATATTGATTCATCATTTTAAGCGTGCAAACAGACTTAAACTCCACCATGGGGGATTTACTAGTTAGAAGTGATTTTTGTATTTGATTTGCCTTTCTCTAGATATATCTAAAAATATAGAAAAGACACTGTTGGTATCAGGGACTGCACATATGCAGCTGAAGTTGGCACAGCTTTTGCCGTTGTGTTTTAAAGGGGTTTGATTTAAGCCAAGACCCCACTAAATATGGGGGCTCTACTATTGAATAACTAAGGTCTGGTGCCAAATCTTTCCTTAATAGTTGTGGTAATTACTGCTGACTCATGCTGACATGTGAGTTTAATTAGCCCCAACTGGAATGTAAAGGATGTGGGAGTGTCTCTTTGTGCCCAGAGACAGCTAGGACAAAGCAGATTTTGGAGGAAAATTTAAGGAATTGGCAAGTTTGGGTAGGAAGTGTCAGCCAGGGCTTTTTTTTTTCTTTTTTTTTTTACAGTAATGTTTGAATAACCAATAAAGTTGATTCTCAGGAAGGGGATGAATTTGGATAGCATGAGCTTGTCTTCACTATGGAATAACTGGAGTCCTAACTCAGACATTGCTTCTAATTTGACTCATGTCCACACACACATGAACTCGTTGCTGAAGAGTGGTGATGTTTTCAATTTGAGTTGGCTTACCCATGAGGAATAAGCTATAGCTCAGATAACCACAATTCATCAACTGCTAACACAATCTGCCTGAACGGCACAAGTGGGATTTTGCTCAACTCTGGCTGCTCCCACTTGAACCAGGGTTACCTGGAGAGCTGGCAGTGCGTGCCTGCTTCCCTGCTATGGGCAGGCCAAAGGCATCATCAGTTCTGCCATGAGGCAAGCGACGGGATGTTTGTCAAAGTGAATGTTCTCACACAATTCCTGTCTAACTGTGTGTTTATGACAGCTTGCTGGTGGTGGTCACTGTCACCACACAGCCGTGGTAGGCAGGACAGGAGGACTTGGCAGCAGTGCAGTGCTAACTGATGCTCAGAATGGGGCATCGCTGCAACAAGATGTGAAAAGCAAAGAATGTCTACCCCAGAAATTTGTTTTCTGCCAGCTACCACCTGGTACAAGAAAGTCAGTCATATGTCAGAGGTATATGCTGATATATATACATAGGAATAAATCCAGCCATACTTGGATAGCAGAAGCAAGAGCTGCTACTTTGGGAGAAACGGTTTTGTTGTTGGCCTTCTATGCAAATTGCTACTAGGAAGCGCAGATCAGGATTTCTACAAACATTTCGAGGTCGAAGCAAAGAAGGAGGGCACAAGAGCAAATATGCAGTCTTCAGTGTACGAAGTGCATGCTTTTTCTAAGAGGAAGCAGGCTCCTGGGTCTGCCTAAAGAATGAAAGTTTCAAGGTACTCTGCAAGGAATCTGAGTAAGAGTTAGGGACTAGCTGAACATCCTGAGGCGGAAATGCTTTAGGAGTATGTCTCTGTCAGTCCAGAGCTCCCACAGAGCTGTTGACAGTCCTTTTGGATTTAGTTCAATTTACCTTCAGAGCGATGATCTTTGAGGTTTCTAAAGCAGTTGTAGCTGCGTTGTGCTGTCGTCAGCATAAGAAATACACCATGGGTAACTGCAGAATTTGAATGGATGGACTGGCAGGATTGCACAAGTGGGGTGGACAAAATGATGCCAACATAATGCCAACTAAATGCACCCCAAGTATTTATGATCTCCCAAGGTCCTCAGTACCAGTGTGTAATACAACCAGTTCAGTGTAGACATCTGTTCATGCACTTGCAACCCTCAATCACACAGTCAGGCAGCTAGAATTGCAAGGAACCCAGTGTATCTCTTTTACCTTTGTTTGTGAGACCTTACGCAGGATCTGTCGTGGTTGAAACCCAGCCAGACAGCTCATTCACTCACTTCCACCCATTCTTGTCTTCCCCCTACTCCTGGAGGGATGGAGAGGAGAATCGAAAAGAATGCAACTCCCATGGGCTGAGATAAGAACAGTTTAGTAACTAAGGTATAACACAAATCACTACTGCTACCACCAATAATAATAATGATAAAGGAAATAACAAGGGAAGAGAATACAACACCTCACCACCTGACTGACAACTCACCCACCCCCCAGCCCGACCAAGCACCAACCCATACCTCCTCCAACCCCGCAGACTCCCAGCCCTTCCGGCTAACTCCCAGTTACATCCTGGGCATGACGTGCTGTGGTATGGAATACCTCTTTGGTCAGTTTGGGTCAGGTGTCCTGTCTCTGCTTCCTCCCGGCTTCCCCTCCTCCCTGGCAGAGCATGAGGCTCACAAAGTCCTTGGCCAAATCAAAACATCATTGTTATCAGGTCTGTTCCCAGGCCAAAAGTCAAAACACAGCACCGCACCAGCAACCAAGAAGGAGAAAAATGACTGCTACTGCTGAACCCAGGACAGGATCTTATCCTTTCCCTCTAGTAGGTGCCTTCTGGTGTTCAACAGCAGGGCAAGTGCAGGGTGATGGTGTAAAATAGTGTGAGATGGCAGAGCTTAGCAGCCTGTGTCAGGGGAACACCTTTAATCTGAGTGCCTGTGAGCGAAGCATTTAGGCTCCATCCAGGAGCTTGTTGCAGGATGAGACTGCTTTGGGCTGGCCCATACTGTCTACGGTTTTGAATCAAGGCTGCATCTGCAGACAGTGAATAAATAATTTGCATGAATCAGTCTATTAAGCTGAGGCTGCAAAACATGTTGTCTGCCACCGTGTCGTCGACCCTTCCTGTTACTGCAGTGGTGCCTGGTGCACCAAAACTATTGCTCTGTATTAAAGAGCAATATCCATGCATACGTATTACATATTTATTCCTTAAACTTTATTTGCATTGATGCTGAATGGTGGTCATTTCAGTAGGTTTAGCTTGCTGAAAACATGTGCTGCCATAAATCCAAATTTTGTCACTCATTAAGGACTGTAAAAATCCACCACTAGTGGATTCCTCCCTCTTCTGTAACACTGGAGCTGAGGCAGAGTGAGGATGAATATGTGGCAGTTTCGGGGTCATTGTCTTGCTTTCCTGGGAACTGTTTGCTGTGTTTGGTACTATACTGATCCCTGGGAATCATGATGCTGAGTAGCCTCTCAAAATCCTTCCTGTATTGAAACTCCAAATATTATGCTCTCACCTCCCAGTCAGAGCAGCATTGTTTGGAAAGGGGGCTCTTCTTTGCCTCCTCATCTTTCACAGGGATTTGCTTCTCCAAAATGTGTTTTCCTGATGTCT